TTGAAATTTCACCAATGAGAAAGAAATTTGGAATAGAATTTTTTAGAGATTTTGTTTGATGATAGGTCACTTTCCAAATCTACAAGTTCAAAGTAGATAGCATGTGCAACCCATTCTTGTTTTATGGCTAAGATAGGTGAGACCCAATCACTTGAAAAAAAGTTTGAAAGTTACAACTCATGTTTTGTGCTTGCTTCTACTTCATGCTTCACTTCTTGAAAATGATATCACAGAATTTGGGCATTCTTCTACAAACATTTTGTGTCTTTAAAAGTAGGTAAAGAGAACGATTTATGCCAGATATAGGTTTACTTATCTAGTATTTAGTACTAGGACCCTTTGGATAATTAATGCATCGATTTTAAATAAAACCTCTCCGTTACCATCACAAGTGAATAAGAAAAAATTAATGTATCGCATTTGCCATGGCTGATCGCCTTTCTTGAGCGACAACCTTTGCTCGTTCGCAGAATGCCTTGATGCATGCATCTATTTTGTTGGAGTGACACTATGCTTCTTTATACATGTTGGAGAGAAAAACCGTTCTCTTATGCTTTCTTATTCTTCTCGAGGATGGTTCAAGGGAAGCCGGTTCTATTAGATGAATTTTCACATATTTATTATGGTATGTATTAAAAATACTGGATTTAGTCGAACTTAATAAATGTAAGTTGCGCTCGCCTATGTACTAAAGCATCTCTCGACTTATTTTCAATTTCTAATCAAACTATATATAGATCAAAAGGTCGTTGATTAGCGTTATTAGTCGACTACACACAAGTACCTAAAACAAAATGATTATAATATGTTCTAGGGTTGTATAGTGGTGGAGTCAGAATTTTCACATGGCGTCAAGAAAACCAGTAAACTAATGTCATGGCTTAGACTCACTCGGTGATTTTTTATTAAAATTGAAAATTTTCTTGAAAAAAAAATCTAGAAGAGAACTGGACTACATCCCGTTAAACTGCAGTTAAATTTGTGGTTTACCATTATATGATCAAATTATTTTTTGATTATGAGGACCAATGACGCACGATTAAAAACTCGGTGGATAATGGCTCAGTCCATCTACCATAGTCCACTTAAATACTATCTTTTGTCTGCAACAAGACTCGAACTCGTGACGTGCGTCTAAACCACACATCATGCACCACCCTCTTACCAATAGTCGTGACGTGTGCCTAATCCGTACATCACGCAAAACACTCTTACCACTAGTCCAAAGTCCAAAGTCCTGGAGCAACCAAAATCACTAATTTAACCCCAACAAATATTCAAACATAGACCAATATCCTTTAAGAAAACCCAAGAAATGACCAAACATTCTATTCCATTAGAATATCCAATGTCAAAGTAGCATGAAACTTGTCACTGCAATAAGCAAATAAACAGTTGAAAAAGAAATGGAAATGACAGAAGCAATTAGCAACCAATGTGAAAAGGAAAAGCCAATGGTGGAAAACATGACAAGAACCCCTAAAAGTGCTACACAGGAATCTCCAAAATTTTCAAAGAACAAGATTCTAATTGCAACTCAAAATCCACCATAAAAAATACAACTCTGAAAGAAGAAAGATTTTAGACAAGAGAAATGGGACATTTTAAAAGGTGAGGAGGAAAAGAGTTGGTTGCAGTTAGTTAGTGCTTTGTAGGGCAAGCAATTGAGTTAGTTAAAGACTACTACTTTTTTAGAAAGACTTACTATTTCTGAATGGACAAGTGTCACAATATCAAGTTACCTATTTTCTGGGACTTATATCAAAGATTAACACTTTCTGGGACTTACATCAAAGATTAACACACCACCACATGGATGCAAGTGCACCTGGATGGAATTTTGACAATAATCCCATCCCAACAAAATGAAGGAAGTAGGTTGCCATTAGGGTCATCCTACACCATCCTTTTTTGGATAATCGAGAAATCCACGAGGTGAAGGGAGCCTTGAGGTAACCGGTAAAGTTGCTGTCATGTGACTAGAAGGTCACGGGTTCGAGCCGTGGAAATAGTCCTTTGAAGAAATTTAGAGTAAGGCTACATATAATAGACCCTTGTGATCCGGTCCTTCCTCGGACCCCGCGCATAGCGAGAGCTTAGTGCACCGGGTTGCCTGAGAAATACCCAGGGCCAGCTGACGCATGGTTTGAAAGTCGTCGGATAATGGGCCGGCTCCTTTACTTTTCTTCACTTAAATACCAGATTCTTAACTGCGACAGGATTTGAACTCATGAGGTGCGCCTAATCCATACATCATGCATTGCGCTTTTGCTACTAGACCAAAGCCGTGGGGCCATCCCACACCAACTTTCTACCAAATCTTGTCTTGAAAAGGATCCAACTTCTACCATTCATCTCCAAGATAAACATCAAAAGTCAATTTTCACTGCCTTGAGTTTTCCAAGTCTGTGAGTGCAAAAGATGCAAATATCTCATCCCTAACATGTTTCACTGACCAAACTATTTCTGTAGAGCAAAAAAAAAAACACGCCAAGCTAAAAGACTCTGGTCATAACTCTCCTCCTGATTCTGGATTCAAATCCTCAATTATATGATAAAAGAGGAAAACATCAATGTAAACAGTAAATTCTGTCAAAGATCAAGACTATAAGTTGAGATTAAACCAGCAGCATATTTTATTCTGTATTTAGTATTTAATTCTTCTTCTGCTNAAACTTGCTGCAAGACTTGAAAACCAACTTTGGTACTGCACTACAAGGGGTGAATATATAATCTATATGCTTGTTTATTTTTAATCTGAGTATACTAGACAGGAAGACATTATCTAGTTATTTTCCTTCTCTCTCTCCACTATCGCGGCTTTTTGAAACTATAATGCATAGGCAGAAGTTTGTGGTAAAACACCAAGCAAGTTGTATAAGGTTTTCCTCTGTTGTATACCACCTGCATATGGCTCTCTTTCTCATTAATGAAATATACTATTGAAGACGTAATTAAGCAAACAAAAGTCTGTTCTCTCTAACAACTTAAGCTTTTAGATGGGTCACACACTTTAACATGGTATCAGAGCAAGCAGAGATCCTGGATTCGAGTCTGACCGCCGCCCAATATCAAAAAGTATTTTCACGTGCTAGGCTCATCAACAAGAATCAAGCTCGCACGTGAGGGGGCGTGTTGAAGACATAATTAAGTAAATATAAGTGTGCTCTTTCTAACAGCTTAAGCTTTTAGATGAGATGGTCACACACTTCAGCATATACTTATCAATAATAAACGTCTAAGCATGTGCTAGTATCTTGTTTTCTATGTGAAATAATGCAGAAGAATGAATACCATCTTCCATTAACGATTATCATAACTTGACAATTGGATAGTGCAACTGATATTGCACTTGTCCAAATAGAACCTTCTTTACATATCTGCATCACAAATTTAAATCATCATTTCATCTAGTGATAGCATCAGTTTGTTAGGCAGCAGCAGGTCCGCAAAGAATCAAATGCAAAAGTAAACTAGTAAACCAAATTAACAGTGATGAGGAAAGATCTAGCTTGGGAGGCAAAGCATTCATTTCCTCTCCCTCTCTTTTTTAAATGTCAGAAAGGTCAGATATAGCTGAGACTTGAGAGATCCTTACAGTTCAATGTCTTTCCTCCATTGCATCAGGACAATGATAAAAGCAAGTTTAGCATAAAAAGATTCAAATATCACACTCTGAAATTGTCTAACCTGGTTCTATTTATAAACTCATTGTTGAGGAAGGGGAGGCAGATTACTTACATTCTTCTAATAGCTACTGAGCGTGTTCATACGAGGAAGAGACAAGGCAAATTCTGGACATTTATGCAGGCTAAACATTGAGAAAATGTTTGACCATAACAAGTGGAATTACTTAATCCATCTGCTGACGCAAATACTTGGAGAAAAAATGGATAAATTGGAGCCATCTCTGTGTTTCTTCAGTTAAATTCTGTATGTAAATTGATAAAAAAACCTGAAGGTCTTTTCTCTTCCCAAAGGGATTGAGGCAAAGGGATCAATTCACTCTTTCCGGCCATGGAAGAACTAGGCTTGATCTTCAAAACAACAGTAAAGAAGTGTCGGATCAAAGGATCTCAGGTAGGGAAGGAAATCAAAGCAGAATCCAAACCTCACATTCTATAAGCTAATGACACTCTTATCCTATGTGATGCTGCAACAACAACAACATACCCAGTATAATCTCACATAGTGGGGTCTGGGGAGGGTAGAGTGTAGGCAGACCTTACCCCTACCTTGTGGAGATAGAAAGGTTGTTTCCAATAGACCCTCGGTCCTATGTGATGTTGATTGTTCATAATTGGAACACCTGAAGGCAATACTTCTTCTACATTAATATGGCAAAAAGCATTTATATGCTATGATTACAAAGGATGTTTGCAGGACTTGGAAGAACTGGCAAAAACATATTGGTCCGAAATTTAAGGATCTCTCTCCAAAACACACTTGGGTATGCCTTTGGGTGTAGCCATAAATCAACTGAAGTGTGGAATAGAGTTATTGAATAAGTGGAAAGGAAGCTGTCCGATGGAAAAATACAATATCTATCTTAAGGGGGGAGGTTAGTACCTATCAACAGTTTTTCGGATTCACTACCAAATCTTATATGTCACTCTTTCCAATACCTACATCAGTTGAAAAAAGACTGGATAAATTGAGGAGAAGTTTCCGGCAGGAAGGTAACAAAGAAAGAAGATCATTCCATCTAAACAGATCAAGCACTGTCATATTAAGCAAAAAGGTGGTCGCCTCGTGGTCAGAAATTTGGGACTATACGACAGAAGTTGATGTTGCAAGTGGCTTTGGAGATAGAGCACGGAAGAACACACGCTTTGGAGGAATATTATACAGAAAAAATTGGATTCCCTGGTGTTCAAACACAATTAGCTACTCCCACGGAATTGGAGTCCAGAAGAAACTTATGGGCTGAATTCTCCTTAAGATACATTTCAAGTTAGGAGATGGCAGACAACTTTCTCCTTTGCATCAAATACACTCACTTGATGCTCAATGTCATAATACGACAGGTTGGAAAATTAGCTTCACGAGAGCTTGCATTGACTGGGAGATCAACAACATGATCGTACCATTGGAAAAGCTTAGATGAAACAAAGAAATTCCCTGAAAAATCAGACACCATAATCTGGAAAGGTCAAAAGAATGGCAAATTCTCTCAGTCAACTCCTACTATGATACTCGTATTACACTACAGACACTCAGTGGCCCTGGAAAAGGATTTGAAAAACAAACGCCCCAGCTAAAGTTGCTTGCTTCACTTGGTTGGCCTCCCAAAATGCATGCCTGACATAGAGAAATTTACAGAATAGAGGCATCAAGCACGTAGCAGATGCTATCTCTGGGATGAACACTGTGAAGAAGCAGAAAAGCATTTTCTACACTATAATAGAATGCTCTTCCTGAACATTTTTGGAACACAACGGGTGATACTCAGAACTGTAAAAGTGGTCAAGAAGTACTCTCAATAAGGATCAGAAAGAATTTCGGCCAATGACCCTGCCAGCATTTTATGGGTCTTATGGAAAGAGAGGAATAAAAGATGCTTCGAAGTTAGCTAACCTGCCCGTAGCTTGAAATATAAATGCTTCTATTAACTTTCTGCGTGGTGTCAGCTCAAAAAGTGAGTAGGAACCCGTGACATTGTTAGCTTGAAAGCATGCAAGTGCTAATTTTCTATCGATAATAACACTTGCATACACTCAGGGTAATAGTTGGTCTTTCTCCAGCAGCAGAAGTTTAGAAGTTACAAAGATAATAATCCTACGAGAAATAACTGTAAACAGAATTGAGAACAAGAACAACAGCACAACAGCATTGAGCATACTTTAGTACTTACACTGATCCCATACGTAATTTACATGATAATTGAATGCTCAATTCCACCAGTAAGTTGCTAAATTACAATCTCCTAGAATACTAAGTATAGCGCAAACATACATAGTGACCAATACAATCAAACTTCCCTCATCCTTTTCAACATCAAGAAGTAACTTGTGCAAATTAATGGGCTTCTCTCTGGCAAACCAACTGCACATTGATTCAAGATCCTGAGTATTTCTAAGAATTAAAACTGACCTTTCTAGATTCTCGTTAAGATGCCCCAGCAGTAGACACCTTCAACTTCTTGGGTGGTGGATTTCCCCCCGACAATACCACGTAAGAGTAGAAGCAAAACATTGCAGCACTGTCATTTCAGATAGCAGAAATCATATAATGATACACCTCGCAATGAATTTTCAATAAGAGAAGCGAGAAAAAAGTCACTGCAATACCTGATGGCAGCATAAAAACCAGTGGGAAACACTTTTCTTGTCTGCAAAAAGATTACCATCATCAATTCGAAAATGCAAGCCACGAAATAAGCTAATAAAGGACTTTGGAAATACGAGGAACTACCAGGGAGAAAGTCTGCATGTTTTTCCAAAGGAAGACTGCAGCAAGTACTGCAGGGACAATAGCAGGGAAGAAATGAATAATTGGAAAGAAAAAACAAACTCAGTAATTTATCTTAATTTATCTTACCCTTTCAGACAACAGAAAAGAGGGAGTGCAAAATTTCAACTCTAACAAGAAGATGCTTAACTTATTCAAATGATATCCAATAGCGAATGCAAGCCCAAATTTTCTTTTGATAGGTAAAAATGGAAAATAAAAAAGGGAGTGTATTAAGATATTGCCGTAAATAAGGCACTTGTTCAAGGCATAAAATGAAATCTAAATACAGCTAAAATGCATTGCACCTGAAAGAACTATGCAGTAGAACAAATCGAAGCATCATATCATGGCCATTTTAAGTGAGCCACATAAAGCACATACATGACTCACTGAAAATCATAAAAACTATGGAGAAGTTTGCATGCATTGTCCTGTGAAGTGTCGTCAAAGACACTAGAAGACGCTAGTGAAAATGGAGCTGGACCGAGGTGACTATCCGAATGGATGTTGACAATACTGGGCCACTTGACAGCAGCTAAAAGGATTAACTATTGGGCCTCATAGTTTTATACTTTGTTTGGGCCTCTCTGTATACCCGGCCCATTTTCAGTTTAGTCATTCATTTTGTATATACAACACATATAGAACATTCTGGACACAATAACAAAAGAAGAAATTCATTTTCTCTTTCTCAGATATTTTGCTCCTTTCGTTTCTCTCTCTCTTCTCATTATTAGGGTTTCAATTCTAAATCAAATCTTCCAATTACAACAATGGACAAAGCCAGGTTGGAGTGTAGGAAATCAATATTCAGTATCCTTTAGGTTAATAATATTTCATTTCTCACAACAAAGCTCTTTCACTCATCCAGTATCAGCTCTACCACCAAAAATAAATAAAATGAACATATAAACTAACTATTTTTCATTAGCTTCAACAAATCTGGCAAGCAAAGAGTGGGAGATGAATCTCGAGAATGTTTGGCTTGATCTAGGAGAAGAGCTGCCAAAAATATAGATCCTCAAATGGCAGATGGGAAAACATTCACCTCTTTCCCTTTCCAAAGCAAGGATTGTTTCAGCCAGTATTTTAAAAGGCATTTTTAGGGCGAGCCCTGGGTCGAGGCGCACCGAAAATGCCTCGAGGCGATGGTGCGGGGCGAAAGTCTCAAGAGGCGGACGCCCGGGGTTAAGGCGAGTTTATGCAGTGAGGCGTAAGCCCAAGAGACTTTTTCAAATTAAAATAAAATTTGTTGAATAAGTCCTTAGTATAATACCCAAATTCTCAAAAGTCAGCTTGTTATTAATCAAAAGTTTTAAAAAGAACCGAAATATCAAATTTAAAAGTCAAGACCTTTTTTTATTGCTAGAAGCCCTAATTTATGGTCTTCCTAATTCTTTATCTTGTCTGCTAGTCTGTTACTATATCCAAAAAGCAACGAACAATTAATTATTTTATTTTATTTTTTTTTGCAAATCCAAAGAGAACTCCATTTTCCTCCATAGCAGCAAGTTCAAAGTTCAAATTGCAGGTTAATTAGTCATCCTTTTTGTTCCCCATGTAGAAAACTTTATTCTTTTCAACTCAAGTTACTTGTGCTAGTAAGTAGCATATAAGGCTTATTTTGACTAGTTATTAGTGGGGATTGAGCACATCTATATATATATATTGTTTACTTATTTATAGTTTTTTTCAATTTTTATGCAATTTTACCTATTTAAAAATATTTACTGTAATTATATTGTTTTATTAAATATTAAAAATTAAATACCCATAAGGCTTACAGCCCGGGGCTTACGCCTCGCTGAGGCATATATAAAACGCCTCGTCTTACGCCCACGCCTTTTAAAACACTGGTTTCAGCATAAGAGATGTTTCCATGGACTTAATATATTTACACTATGAGGTAGCTGAGAGTAGAGCTAGAAACATATATTATTCATTGATAGATGTCTGGTTTATTTCAAACAATTACAAAATGAAATTTTACTAAAGCACACCAAAGTGTCTTAAAACATATCCATTGTTTCATTCATAAGCATATCTATCAATGAATAATATATCCATAAAATTTGTTTTTCCTGTTCCAGACTTCCCATATTTACAAAATATTAATATTCAAAGATTAGAACGAGTTACTGCTCAAAGAAAAAAAATGAGAAAAAAGATAGCTGACACAAAATGTTAACAATAAGATCAAATACAAAAGAGATCACACTCAAAATTGTTCCTTTTTCATCGGCGAACTAAAGGTAGTCCAACTGCATATAATAGCAATTAACTTGCAGGAAAGCAGCAAATACCTGCTTGACCCAGTATGAATGGCAAGCTAGATTTTCCTTGTCTCCAGACCCTCAAGCTAATGGTGCTGAAGGCCAGTAAAGTGCCTCCAAAAAGAACACCATTACTTAAAGTCAAAGGATTTCTTGAGAGAATAAAACCAACGATGCCCCCGGTAAAAACTAGACCACCTGTGATGAGGATCATTAAGTAATTAATATTCATAATAATTAAGTAGCTGCAAGAAATAAAAACATCAGTGTGATAACAAATCTTAGATAAATGTTTGCTGTCATTTTGATCTCTTTAGTTATTGTTATTTGACATCTTTCTGATAAATAAACAGTTCCACTTGATCAAGAACTAATTTTTCTCTAGGCCCTCGTGGATATCTAGGTTAAAGAAACATGTAAAGATTCAGAGCTAGTAACAAGAGATGTCGCTCGAGATAAAATTATCTTACATAGACACCAGAATAATTAAAAATTCTCCTGAATCTAATGATACGTGTAGGATTCTGAGAATCATTGGTTCCTGAGTAAAGTTGCAAACTTTATATAGCTCAAAGACAAGGAACTTATACCTTGATGCACAGAACAAAAATATAAACAATAAGGGAATGGTTCTACTTTTTGCCTTACTTATATCTACTGCATCACCAAAATTTTGTAGGACGCACAAACTCCTAAATAATGAAGCAAATTTTCTGGATCCAGTGACACATTGGTGATTCCACCAGGATAGGTCAATAGAACTGGAGTTTGAGGTTAAAGGAAATATGCTAGGGATATATGATTATGTTTCCAACGAAGAAAAAGAATTTCGCAAGAAAATAACTGAACCTTGTCTACATTGACAAAATGTTTCCTCCCTTTTGGACTAAATATTCTTAAGAGTTTGTGCTTTCAACAGAATCTTTTAGGTTTAAGAAAAAGACCTGAGGGTTAATTCATGTCTGGACTCTGTGAAAGGTCATAAGCAGCACTCCCACTTTTTTGACAAGGAGATTATATTGCACCAGAAGGAGGATATTCCGTAGAATATAAGAAGTGTACATAGCAAAAGGAGGAGCTATACATAAGTGTTGCACCTTCCCTCTATCCAAGTAGTTATCCGAAATGCTGCAGAAGCAAAAGAAAAACAACAAAACGATTGCACTTTTAGGTAGTTCCCCCTCAAAAGAACTTCCATACCTCTCGACTTGGACTCCTAATGTAATAGTTGGAGGGAAAATTATGTTGCAAGAATGGTTGGCAACATAATCCTCCTTTTTTTCTTTAATTTGTAACCACAGAGAGTAAAAAAGGGAGGGGAATAAAAAATGAAAACAAAACAATCAAAGCGACATAGGACCTGTTTGGCCATAAATTTTGCCGAATTTTTGCCAAATTGTTTTTGGCAAATACTTTGTTCATAAATTTTATCCATATTTTGGCAAATTCCCAAAACAAGCTTAAGAGCTGGTCTGGTTTTGGCCCAAAATATTACTATTATATTTTTTAAAAATTGCCCCAAACTTTTGTATTTTATAAAAGAGCCCACCATTTATTATTTTGTAACAATGCTACTTCGTTTACTCGGTCATCTGATTAGTGTATTATGTAGTTTATTATAAAAATGATAATTTTGTACCAAATTTATTTATGTTCAGGGCTAT